AGCATACCAAATCAAAAGTATAATTCTAAGCGGCCATTTTGCTTTGTAAGCTCGATGAGTCCAAAGACGATGAGCACCGGCAGTAATGCTTATCCCTCCTATCGCAATTAGAATGAGCACTTGAGGCAAAAAGAATCAAATTAATTAATATATTTATAAAATTATACATAATTAATAATATAATTATACGTATTTTGTACGGATGTCATGTACTGATTGATCTACAATAAGTCCATTATAAAACGCTACTATAAATTATAACGATTTTAATTAAATTTAAGATATTAAATTTTTAGAAAAAATTATATAAAGATTAAAATCTATCTTTGATTATACAATCAAATTTAACATTTTTAACTTGGATATCTTCAAAATGGAATCAAATATGTATGTTTGTTCACAATGTGTTTGTGGTAATTGATATAAGTGACTGACGCAATGTCTGTAATGAAATCAAAGTTATACAATAGAAATGAAAGCTCTGGCTTGTCTGCTGTCAAATTGTTATCATGCTTCTCTTTCATCGTACGTCTAATCGATTTGCTTTCAGTCAGTTAATGTCGACTTGCTTTCAATCAATTAATATCGATTTCTGTAGTTAATAATTACGGCATTCTTAGTAAACATGCGATACACATTCAATGAAATTATTATATATGTGAAACGTTTACATATATTTGTAAAAGAGTATTTAAAAAAATAATCAGTCTTATATATATTGAAAAAAGAATAAATTTCATCTTTTTATTTAAAGATTTTTTCCTATAAGTTAAAAATTCGAATTAATAGAATTTGTAATCTTCCAAAGAATACTCACTCCAAATGTTTGTCCTGAAATCTTTGCACCATTCAAAAGTGAAACAAGCATACAACATGCTGATATGAAGAAAAATAATAAATATGGCATTAAACCACTTCACTTCAGTCTTGAATTTAAACAATCCTTCAGATTTTATACATGTTTCGTCTCGGTTTTGCATATCATCCGTGATGATTGAAGATTCCTCTTTTTCTTCGCAAAAATTTTTCTCCGCTTGCATTTCAGGATTCGAGGTATTGGGTGCCATCTCGTTTATGAAAATCACTAACTCGGTAATTCAAAATCCTAAAAAAATTACCTTTTCAAAAAAAGGTAAAAAAAAGAAGTCGAGTCATCTCAATAGTAAAACATTATTATATAGAACTACTTTACAAAAAATTATTTTAATAAAAAATTGCTGTATTAAAAAATTGTGTAAAATAGTTGTCATAACTATCTGTAAAAATTAATGATATATTTAAATACAAAATTACGTCGAGAATAAAAGAGTGCGATTTTATTTTATGTTTATCAACAGTGTGTGTGTGTGTGTGTGTGTGTGTGTGTGTGTGTGTGTGTGTGTGTGTGTGTGTGTGTCTGTCTGTCTCTGTGTGTGTGTGTGTGTGTGTGTGTGTGTTTGTGTGTGTGTGTTAGATGTGATTGACTGCTGATAAATAATTAGATGAAGAAAAATTATGTTTATATTTTCGTCGAAAGTTATTACATCTTTGTCGTAAAAGTCAGAATCCCGATTTCTTCAACGATAAACAGTTGATTCACGTAGTTCGTAATTTAAAAAATTTTAATTATTAAAAAACTCGACACTGCCAAATTTATTTGTATATTATTCAGCAGAAATAAATTTCGTGTACCAATTTTTTTTATGTGAGGGATTACTGCCCAGGTAGCAAGCACACGTCATTTTGACGTTCCAAACTAGTCATTTTTGGTCATATGTCGTCAAATGACTGATTATTGTTACATAACTTTATATTGACGTCTTGCTATAACATTATTTTGACGTCATTTTTCAGTCATGAAGTGACGATTATTTTATTATGAATGTCATTAGTTAGTACATCGATCCCATAAAAAAAATCTTTTAAAATTTTTTATATGACATGACTTATTTCGCGATCAGACTTTTTATATATTTATATATATATGTATATACGCATCTACGTACGCAATATATGTATAATACGAGAAAGAATTAACAAGAGCAAGAGTGTTAGAAAACTAACCAATCACAGTTGATTATTCTTTTATCGCACTATGATTTGTCAGTTTTCTTACGACCTTACGGTTATGATTAAAATTTTTGCACGTGCGAAGGTCTTTAGTTCTATGCGTACATATATTAACATATACTATTACACGTGGCATGGTGGAAAAGGAAATTGTCTCTCCTTGTCACACAATTAAATTGTAATGCCGACATCGGGTAATTATCTTTTATTCTTGTGTCTCGCTCTCGCACACACACATATGTACAAAAATTTTCTGCGCCGAAATTTTTGTTATTCGATTACTAAATCTATTTTTAGTAATTCATCTATATTCCTTCATGCAATTACGAGTCTTGATTCTATTTTGCACGCACAAACTGTAAAACTTTTATATTAAGAGAGTATTGGTACGATCTGATGCCAAAAGCCGAAAAAAAAACAAATTTTCTAATCTTCTTTCGTTTTTAACAAAAAGGTAATAGCTTCGAGATACATTACTATGCATACTTTAATCATGGAAAAGGATTTCTTATTCCGTATGATCTATACAAAAATTTCGATGCAGAAAAAAATAATCGTTTTGATTAGTAAAACAGAACGATCTGACATTCTCTTAATAATAGTAAAAATAAGAGATATAATCAATCTTCAATTATTAAAAATAATGTAATTAGTTTATTTATAATAAAAATATTTTTAATTACTATATACTTTGTATCATGATTATTTGCTCAAATTGACTGTGTAAAGAAACAAAATTATTTTACGTAGGAAATGTAAATACTATAATAAATTATATATATTCGCGAAATTTATAATTTTATTATTATTATACAGGAAAAAAATATTGTAAAAAATACAGGAAAAAAAGTATTGTAGAATTTTTAAATTTATTCTACGAAATATATCTTAAAATATTTCAGTTTGTTATATAATATAAGCCTATACGTTCTGCGTTATATTAAAAATATTTATTTATTCGCTGATTCAAGGAGTAGCAGACAATACAAACAACACAGGCCTGTAAAATTTTAGATTTGGTTAATTAAAAAACAGAGTAATGAAGCAGAGTAATGAATCTGATAGATATTTTGACGCTAAAAATGAATCTGATCGCAGAATTTTTCTAGCACGTCAGGTTTTTGAGTAATTTGTTATTAACTAGTTCAAAAATGATTATTTCGGCAAATTTCATGAATTTAAAATCCATTTTCAATTGCTACCGCATGATTTTTTTTTCACTGTCGGAATGCAACATTGGAATGAGCATTTAAATAAACTGTTTTATTACTAAAATTACGTCTCCGATTAGTTCGCCTTCTCCTTCGTTACTAGCGTACAAAGTTTCATTAGAATCGGTGAGTGACAGTTGGATACTTTTACTTGAAGCGTAAAATAGAAAGTGACAGAGATTGGCTGTCCTATCTTTTTTTTTTGATCGCTTTAAAAAAAAATTAAAACCATCTAAAACTTTCAAATATAATTTCTCGAAAAATATTTATTTAAAAAAAAGAGAGAGTTGTACAGAAAATTAAAAGATCATTAAAATATATATTACTATATATATTACTTGATCTCTATTGCCATATTTAAGATTTTTGAAGAGATATAATTACCCTAACGAAGGGGATAAAAAAATTTTGTTGCATTTAATGTACTTAAATATCCCTCTCAAAAACAAAATTGACATGTTTTGACATTTTTCGCAAAAAATAATTTTAAATTGAACACCTTGTATACATACATGTCTATCGATCTATCATCTGTTATTGATTTTTTCATATTAAGTATTGATATTGATTTTGATATTGATTATTGAAGATATTGATTTTTACTGCACAGCTGATTTTATTGTGTCATTTCTTATATATATATTTATTATGTACATCGAACATTAGTGATTAATTAATATTAACAAATGTATATTATAAATAATATTACAGAAAACAATTAATTCTTCTTTAAATAAAAATTAATAATTGTTTAATTATTACATTTTTACACAGAATTATAAAACTCAATGTTTTTACTTATTTGTAAGATACATTTTTTAATCAAAGAAATATGTAGAAATTAATCTATTATTATTATAAAATAAAATAAAATCAGCTATTCATTAAAAATCAATATCACCTATCATGAAAAAGTCAATAACAAATGACCACATATCAGAAATTTCCCCTGCAAAACAACTAAATTACAAAATGTCAAAAGACATTTTATATTTTGTGATGTTTTGTTTGATCTAATGACACACTGACAATTCTTGCGTGTCATTTCATTATTATTCACTTTATTGTTTCATTATTCACTAGTGTGATGTTCTCATAAAATGTTTCGAAAACTAAGTTTAGCAAGAAATATTATGTAAAAAAAAATTCCACTTTTTTTAAGTTGTCAAACCATGTGTTTTCTCGCTTACTTTGATACTCATTTTAAGGTTATTTATTAACTGTCAAAAACTTAGTTTTCGAAATATTTGATAAGTGTTCTAAACCTATCTATAGTGTTATTTTTTTTTCAATATTTTTTTATTTTAATTATACCTAGGAGGGAGTATATATGCTAATATGAGTGAAGCCCTGAATGGTTTAATTTCATGACGTATTTATGACGTCATCGGAAGCATAAATTTCAAATATATTCAAATATATTTCATTTATATTTAATTTGCAAATTCTCATTAATATAAATATATAAATATATTTATTTTATAGTGGAACGTCCCATTAATAGTGGAATGTCTCATTAATATAAATATATAAATATATTTATTTTATAGTGGAACGTTTTGGTAGGTCTTTAAGTTTTCGAATATTCCTATAAATAACAATTTGCCTTCTATCAATTTACTCATTACAAATCATAAAATTGATTTAGTGTTTTTACCGACATACTCATATCAATGAAATTGAGGTTGTGTGACAAACTTGGTTTGCAACCCACCAGGTGTCTAATCATATGTTTAATGGCGTATAGTTCACGCATGCGTACGAAAGTGCAATCCGGGAGAGATTTGTTTCTCCCCAAATTGACACTTGACGCTGGTTTTCTTATAAATAATAACAGATAATAAGTAATTAATACTTTGTGAAAAATGCCTGAAGTTATCGTTCTGTTCGATGGATATTCTACGAAGTTACCAAACGGAAGCATGGACGCAAATTGCACATGTACTCTAATAAAAAGCACCAAATTAATCATCGTCGATACCATGACAGCTTGGGACCGCGAAAAAATAGTGCAGGGTATAAAAACTGTAAATTGCATTAAAATTACTCTATATCATTTTAATACTACTTTGTTGCTTAATATGTTGTAATTAATTTCTTGTACAATTTTTTGTAATTTTATATAATTGTTATATAACTTTATATAATTATTTTGTACAATTTTTATGTAATTTTTTAAATTACTTTAATTAATTCTATTTAATTATTTTTTTAAAAATTCTAATTTTTAAAAAATAATTAAATTCTTATTTTTAAAAATTATATTTTAAAAATTCAATTAATTATATAATTTTAAATATGTCTGATTAATATATGTATAAAACATATAACATTTTCATATATTATTATTTTTAGCCCTTGCACAGTACAATATTAAGCCAGAAAACATTGATTATGTTGTATGTACTCATAGCCATGCGGATCATATAGGGAATAACAATTTATTCACAAACGCAACACATATTGTGGGCTTATCAGTTCAGCAGAATACTATATTTTACGAGGAGCCACAAATTCTGAATGGTTGATTTACTACAATTTTTTATGTAATGATTCAACGATATGCTATCATTGCTGAACGAATCAAATTTTGTTAAAATTTGTTGCATTTGTTTAGAAGGCTACGAGCTTTGTCCAGATGTTAAAGTTATAGCGACACCGGGACATACAGCTGAAGATGTTACTGTTTTGGTAAAATCCACAAAGGAGAAGATGCTTTTTGCTGTTACTGGTATTTATAAATCTCTCTTAGATCATAATTTAGAATTTGATTAAATTAATATTGAATTTGATTAATTTAATTTGATTAAAAAAATTTTTTTTAATTATAATTGTATATTTTTATATTATTTTACACAAATATTCTTGTAATTTTACAGGAGACTTGTTTGAAAAGGAGGATGATATTCTGGAACCGTCCATCTGGAAAGCACTAGGCACGCCTGAACTTCTAAAGACTCAATCTGTTATGCGTTCTCGAGTAATAAATCTTGCAGATTTTATAATACCTGGGCATGGTCCAATGTTTCGTGTTTCGCATGCTATGAGGGAGATTGTCAAGAACCAGATAATAGAATGAGACTGTAAATCGTTGTTAATACTTGTTAATTAATCGGAGATAAATCTGTTATATATTTTTATAAATATTTTATTAAACATTGCAAAGTGTCATACATGATATCACAACGTTATTGTATGTATACATTGCGATTATTACACATTACACCGGATTTCACAAACATATACAGGGTGACCCCGAACGTTCCAGCCAGACTTTGAGATCTTATAGGAAATTTAATTCTGAACAAAAAATTTCCTATAAACATGGATCGAAAAATGCTTCCTTAAGAAGTTATCTCAAAAACCTCTGATGAAGGAAGAGCAAAAGGTGAAAAGAAAATGAAATAAAAAAAATGAAACTAAAAAATAAATTTCTTGAAAAAAAGGATAAAAATAAAAAATAAAAATCTTTTTCTTTTATGAAAATAAAATAATTTTTTTTTCCTAACTAACTTTTATTTTATTTTCATAAATGAAAAAGATTTTTATTTTTTATTTTTATCGTTTTTTTCAAGAAATTTATTTCATCAGTTTCATTTTCTTTTTATTTCATTTTCTTTTCACCTTTTGCTCTTCCTTCATTAGAGATTTTTGAACGATAACTTCTTAAGGAAACATTTCTCGACTTATGTTTATAGGAAATTTTTTGTTCAGAATTTCCTATAAGATCTCAAAGTCTGGCTAGAACGTTTGGAGCCACCCTGTGTATATATATATATATATATATATATATATATATATATATATATATGTTTATACATAAGAGCGATACCATTTTACATTGCGTTTTTGCTCACATTGGCGCAAATCAATATAATAACTTATCTCGAAATAATCTTTTCTGCGGTATATACGTTTATTTCGAGAAATTAATTCGCGAATTGATACATTGTTCTTAGCAAGTATTCAACACTATTCAGACATTGTTCCGTTCTAAGGATTCGCTCTTCTAATATCTACATTCTACGTTTGCAAAACAATTCTATGAAATCTTCACAGCCAATGATTAAATTAAGAATCCTCTCGCATTTTCCGTATTCTTATCTAAGAATTATAACTGGTAGATAAAAGTGTTTTCTTCTGGAAGAAGGAAAATGACATTTATTAGTTTTGCTCTATCACCATCAGAATTACGTAACGATGCCAAGAAGCCGATAAATATGTAAAGAAATCTAATGAAACAAGAATTTTTCTAAATGAATTTGCATTATATAACTTCAAGAATTACATCGAGACTCCCATCCTTCGCTGCAGTTATATAAAATTACGATGTTGAAAGCGAAGATATCGAATCGGAATCTTTTCTTCTTGGCTTGTATAGATCGAAGTAGATTAATATTTTTTTTTCGTGCTGATATAACAAGGAAAAAATCGATACGATTTTTTGCCCGTTACATTCTGACATAGCTAACAGTGATACGGGATTGCTGTAGAGCAGCAATACAAACAATAGCAATATAAACAATGTGAGACCGAGTGCCCCGCACTTCATGAACAGTAGCAGCTAAAAATACTTTGTACGGAACAGCAAATTCGCCGTGATTGTACTAAAAATGTATTTAAAAATTAAGTAGTTCTACGAGACCGAAAGATCCGTTTTTATGTTATGAATCTTCTTTGTCGGCAAATTAATGCGAGATATAACAGAGTCGTAATCAAGTTTAGGAATCGTTATACACAATTCTTATTATATATGTCTCTCTCACTCTCTACAGGCTAACTCAACTTTCATCGAATCATTTTTCTTAGATCATTATATTCGATGCGTATCGACTTTCGCTACATCTTTAATTCGACGTATTCACATTTTTTTCATTACATATAGATATATCATAACATATATATTATTAATAATTATATACAAGGTGAGCCATTTTAAGTTACCCACCCCAATAACTTTTTTATTTTGGAATGTGCAACAAAATGTTTCAAATAAAAGTTGCTTGACTTCGAGGGGGACAGAAGGTGGTGGTAAAAATTTGACCTTGGATAGTCATTTGAAGATCTCATAAAGGTTACCTTCAATTTCTTAAATGGAACCTACTATTTTTCATTGCATATTCTTGTAGCTTATCTCGAGAGCTTTCCAAAATACTATAATAAAAATTATTTTTCCATGAAGTACATTTCGAGTTATGAGGCTTGAAATCATTTCTTAATTTTATATAAACCATAAAATATCTTGTAAAATATTCAATTTTCGATTATCTTACCTTAATACTTTTATGTACAAAATAATGAGAGGACTCAATTAGTGTAAAGAAAACACATAATTGTTTCTAAGAAAAAATATGTAATTTGCAATTATCAATATTTTTTCTTAAAAACAACTGTATGTTTTCTTTACCTGATTCCTCTCATTATTTTGTACATAAAAGTATTAAGGTAAGATAATCAAAAAATGAATATTTTACAAGATATTTTACGATTTATGTAAAATTAAAAAATTATTTCAAGCTTTATAACTTGAAAAATACTCAATGAAAAAATACTTAATTATAGTGTTTTGTAAAGCTCTCGAGATAAGCTACAAGAATATGCAATGAAAAATAGTAGGTTCCATTTAAGAAATTGAAGGTGACCTTTATGTGACCTTCAAATGACTATCCAAGGTCAAATTTTTGCCACTATCTTCTGTCCCTCTCGAAGTCAAGCAACTTTTATTTGAAATATTTTGTTGTACATTCAAAAATAAAAAAGTTATTGGGGTGAGTAACTTAAAATGGCTCATCCTGTATGTGTGTGTGTGTGTGTGTATGTATATATATATATATATATATATATATATATATATATATAATGTATAAACATTATATGTATAATGTTACATATATTTTTTTATATATACATTTATATATATATATATAATTTTATACCTATATATGATATATAAGAATCTTTACCAACGAAAATAATTGAATCTAAATTAATTTACAAACTTGGCGTGAAAATAATAAACCCGTACATATATGTATAACTGAAATCTTTCCTGATAAAAAGGCGTATTCCATTTCAACAAATTACATTGAAAATCGCAGGAAGTACGACTAGCTTCATAAAAATCCTCTAACGCTAAATATGAACGACATACATATATAATCTATGATGCTTGTGTTTAACACAAACTATCTTCGATCAATACATTCATTACTTAAAGAATTTGCCGTCAATGTCAGCAACATGTGACATTAAAATATCAATCCATTTTGACCTTTTACAATCAATGTATACACACACTTTGTTACATTTGGCTAGATGGAGAAATCTTTTTTTTTTTTCTTAAGACAACTACAGTTTAATAAATTGTAATTAATTCTAATTAATTTTTAATAAGCTATGATTTTATATATAAATATATAATATTATAAATATATTTATTATATTTATTAGTATTATAATTATTTATTATTATATAATTATAATATTATAAATATATAATATTATATAAACAACGTTTAATTAAGAAAAGAGCGCGAAATTAACCGGCTTAACATTTAATCATGTCGTACAATTCTAAAATCATCGTGCAGCTGGTTCTAAATCATCAGACTCGAGCAGAACAAGCGAGTGAAGCAAAAAATTAAAAGTGATCGAAAGTGACTTAAAGTAACTAAAGGGAGATTTTACAAGTGTCTACCGACCAAACCTGGCAGGGCGACTCGTGTGTGCAGCGGTAGTGGTCCCGGACTAACTTCTCCCGTCATCATCATCACAGTCCCCAACTGTCCCACAAAGTATTAAACAATACAATCAAGAATCGGCTTCAAAATCATTTCTTCGCGCGATTGCTCGATATCTATGTGTAATTTTTGCGTGCTTGTTTTACACATATACACAGATATTCATATGCAGTGTTTGCTGTAGATAATTTCAAAATTATCTAGATAAAGATAAAAATCCGTAGATTTATCTTAGATGAGATAAAGATAATTTTACTTTTACTTAATCTAGATGAAAGATGAGATAATTATTGCGATAATCTAGATAATTATTTAGATATTTTTTTTTATTTTAGAAGGCTATAAATATTTGTAAAAAATGTAACGCAGATTATAAATGGGATATTAAAATCATAAACACATATTCTTTCTCTTTTCCTAAAGAATATTTAAATAATAGCAAAAAAAGAATATAAATGATATGATAAATATTTATTTATTAATTTATATTTATAATATATTTATAATATATTAATAATATAATAATAATATATTTATAATATATTAATAATAATAATATAAAAAATATATTTTAGACATTTTAGATAGATTTTTAGAAGCTTGCTTTAGATTTTTGGAATACTTTTTTGCATAATGAAAACGTCATCGTAGATCATTTTTAGATAAGATGATATATATTTTTCATCTAAGATAAAGATACTTTGTATTTCTTCATCTAATTAAAGATAAAGATGATCCATTTCTTTATCTAGATGATTATCTAGATAATTTTATCTAGATACCAGCAAACACTGTTCATATGTAGAGACATAAAAAAATCCAGATTTTCTTTCTTGACGTTAAAAAACACATTTAGTTTTTTTTTAATTATTTGTTTAATGTATTATTTTTTGTTCGATTATTATTATTATTTTTTGTATAATAAAAAAAAACTATTTCTAAAGTTATATTTTTTATTTATCTTTTTTCGAAAGTAATGTTAATAAATTAATGAGACTTTTATTCGGCAAATTATTTCAAACACGACATAATTTAAATTACTTTCAGGCGAATGGTATGTGTATCAAAAACTTTTGTTATGTCGTGTTTGGAATCATTTTAATCGCGAAAATTTCATTAAAAATAAAAATTTCAATTTTTTATTATATTGAAATAGTAATATTGAGGTATATTTAAAAAAAATTAAAAACTGTTTTTTGTACCTATAATAAAGACAATTCATTTAAGCTGAATTTTGTTTTTAGATAATTTAACTAATTAAAAAATAATAATTATATAATTATGTATTCCAACTGAAATGCGAGCTACAAAAATGATTAGTTCACATCTATCATGTAAAAAATGAAAAATAATAAAAAATCAACCTACAACAATCGAAATATAAAGATGTTATGTATCTAGAAAAATTTTTTTGAAAAAAAAAGAAAGAAAGAAAAGAAAAAAGGCTTGTTTTTTTATTATAAAAAATCGTATTTTATGAAAAACTTTTGTTCTTTTCCTATTTACACCTCTTCTCATGAACCACAATTATTTACAAAAAGAAAACGATTATGTCATGAAGATATAGACCCGTCAAAATTTATGTCGAATCAATTTGACTCCAAAGAATTTAATCAACAAAATAAATCGACAGAGAAATCAAAAGAGATAAAATCTGGACTCTAATGTTGATCTTTAAACAATTAACTTTATCTACTTTCTATTCTTCCCAATAGTTTGTCACTTGAAAAAAATAAAGTTTGCCATTTTGAACAAAAGGACAATAAACACAACAATCTCGATCAACAGAGGATCGTGCTTTCATGCCCTAAAAACTAAGAACATTACGTGTTTGTGGCATTGACTTATCTCTAAAAATATAAGTAACGTAAGAATTAATGTTAACATAAATGTAAATGTAATATCACGTCAGATATATCTTAATGAATAAACATACGTTAAAGTAATTAAAGATCTAATTAAATCTAGATTTCGTGAAAATTGAAACTAATCAAAACGACTCGAGAAATATCTCTTACAACTAACGCTTAATAATTTAATGCTTAAATATATGTAGATTTGTGTAGAGCACCGAGAAAATAGATATATACGTATATATATTACCGGGAAGAAATCGGCAAATAATAGCTCTTAAAAGAAAATCACGTTCACAACTGCGATCTACGTGCAGAGCCCCTTACACTCGTCTGTGAAATAATATAAAAATATATGAAACTAAAAGAAAAAAAAATAAAACGAAAGGTAATTAAAGTACATAAAGTAGTATACATTTTGCTTCATGCAGGTATTAGATGAAGTATTCAGCCGGCGCATGATAATTATAATGCCAAAAATTTCTCTCGAAATTGCATGCAAAAAAAAAATAATCGTACAGTGGATAAAAAAAGTAGCCAAAAATTTTTCTCGCACAAGGAAAAAAAGATGTATCATTTTCTTATGCAAATAATCCACTTGTTACACTGAGGAAAAAATTATCTTGAAATGAAAAAATTTTAGTTAACTCAAGAAAGCTATTTATTCGGTGGGTACTAATCACGTATTTACTTGTATTCAAAACATCTGTTTGCTTAAGTTAAGTAATTATTTACATATGTTTAAAAAAATATAATTTTTAATTAAATATTTTTATTTTAATTTTACAAAATATTTATTAAAATGCATTTTTTATTCCCAAAAATTAAAAATTTTTTAATTTTGAAAAGTAATATATTTAATTTAATAAATTATAGTATATACTTTACAAAAGTAGTATTTAAATATAAAAAATATATAAATGAAAATAATGTACTTAATATAACATGCATATTTAATTAAAATTAAATATTTTTGCTTAAATGAAATAAACAATTCCTTGCATTTAAAGCAAAAGTTTCAGGAAAACAAATTTATTTGATTTAAAAAAATTTTTCTCTCAGTGTAGAAATGACCTATTTTGCCTTAATCAAGCTCCAAAAATAATAATAATAATAAAAACGTGTAGTCACTTGTCTTATCCACTGTATCGGCTTACAAATAGTTATATATCATCATCCAGAGCGTGAGTGAGCCTTGCACAGAGAAAGGATTTAAAGATCACAGCAGAGCAACAGAGCTCCTTTTTTTCCTTCTTGTCTCTCCGTATTGCCAGTCGCTACAATTCTCGCGTGATTAGAGTTAATGAACATTGAAAATTATGTTTAATGCTCGATCGTTCATCGAGTGTCGCGGAAAGTTCGATAAATTGATGTTTATTAATATTTGAGAGAAAAAAAAGATGACAATTTCTTTCAATAAAATTCATCCTTCTCGTGTATAATATCCTCGGGGAAAATCGCCCCACGCGATTATAAATTAATTCGCAATTAAAAATTAATCCACAATTATCCGAAAGAGAAGAATTTGTCTTTTGCCGCAGAATTTTCGTTTTTCGTCGATCGCTACAACGTTCGTAACGGGATGAATCCCTCCATTCCGATGATTCTGAGGTCTTCGTCATCGGAATCGGAATCATCATCGTCATCACCGTCGTCGTTTTTCTTTCTCTAGAAAAACCGGTTAAAAAAACGTGCGGTCACAAACTTGCGGCTCCGCAAATGATATTCTGATTGAATACTATTCTCGCCGAAGGGAAAAAATATACACAGAGAAAAATATCATTCTACTGCCAAGGAAAGCGATTTATTCACTCAGTTTATTTTTCTTTTTTTAAATAATAGTTTTCTCCAAGAATATATTTTTGATAATAGTCTTAAAATATACTCATCACTAGTGTCAGAAAATGTCATTCTCATGTACTCAAAAAAAAGAATTAATTTTCTCTTCAAGAATATTGTAAAATTGCATCAAAGAAAAATCAAACTTTCTTTATGTGGTAAGCAAACCAAATTTTTGTTTCGATTTAATATTCTTGACTAAAATACTGCAGTTACTAAAATTCAGAATATATTTAATTAAATTTAATGTTTGTGATAAACTTATGATATATTTGCGGATATACAAACTTTATGATACACTTAAAATAAATAATATTTACTTGACTACAGTATACATTTTTCTCTGTGTATGATATATATATATATATATATATACGATAAGTTATAAATAGATAGATTCGGAAGCTTTTGTTTTCTCTCTCTCTTTTTTCGCACAAGTACATTAAACATAATTTTCGAATCGCCTCAACAAGTCAAGTTACCCGTATGTCTTACATAATTATTGTATATTACACAAATACCACTACGTGATTTTATTTCTTTATTAATTCTTTATTAATTTTCGTTTCTGTCATATAGGTAATTGCTGACTAGAATGGTTGAATCTGCTGCATAACAACTGTAAAATCATCACGACAAAAGAGAATACGCAGTATTAAGCCCTATTTCGCGCAAAAACAATTGTTTCATGTGTCTCAATGTTTATCAATTTACTCAATACAAATAACTTACAATTAGTAACTAAATTATTTATTATAGCACAGCGCACAGCGAGGAGAGAAATTAGTTTATATTAACTCTCTGACAGCGAATGGCCATTCAATTTTGGAAAATTTCCTTTATACGTGTAATGCAAAAAATATTTATAATTGATTTTAATGAAAAAAATGCTATTTATGTATATGACAATAAAAAAAAGGAAAATATTTTCGAAATAAAAATTATTGACACTAATACAATTTGTGCACACACATGAGATACTTGTTTGGATTATCGTACGAGTTTTATAAACCATTAGGGCCACACACGAAATTGTATAGCTGCATATGCATAACATAAGACCATATGTATCAATCAGCATCGAGTATTATGTTATATAAGTCAATATGATGATTTAATACTCAATTGTCAGCTCATTGGTTCATATTAGTCTTATGCTATGCATATGCAATTTCGTGTGTAAGGGCCCTTATTTTTAAGCTATCCGGCTGGCAGAGAGTTCATAAACATCCTAGGCAAGCAGGTTGATTAAAAATCCACGGTGTATTTACAATTTTTATTAATTTTCTTTTTTTAAATTGAGGTGTCGGGTACGATAATAGCATAAAACTTAAGATTTTAATATTTATTTGTGGCACATATGTATTTTATATATATGTCTCATTTTTAATGATCTGCTGAAATAACTCATTACGAAAGTATTTTAGAGAAAAATGTCAAATACAAAAGTTGTAAGATTCAAAGGGGGACTTGTAATGGTGACCTTGAACCAGGGATAAAAGTTGGAGGTCATTCGAAGATTAACTTAAAAAGCATTAATGAAAATCCCTATTTTTCATTAAATATTCTTGTAGCTTATTTCGAGAAATCTTCACTCGAGAAGTCTTCTAACGACTGCAAGGTCAAACCAATAACACCATCTTAAGTCCTTCTCGAAATCCTGCAACTTTTGTCTAAAACTTTTTTTCTAAAACCTTGTCATTTTGAGATACTAGTTCGAGATATTGTTCTAATTAAATTGGGATACCTTGTATATATAATTATAATAAAAAAATATATATATTATAATTATTATATATTGTTATATATTATTATATATTATATATACATATATGTGTGTGTGTGTGTGTGTGTGTGTATATACAGGGTGGCCCCGAATATTCCAGCCAGACTTTGAGATCTTATAGGAAATTTAATTCTGAACAAAAAATTTCCTATAAACACATGGGTCGAAAAATGCTTCCTTAAGAAGTTATCGCTCAAAAATCTCTGATGAAAGAAGAGCAAAAGGTGAAAAGAAAATGATATAAAACAAAAATGAAACTAAATAAATTTCTTGAAAAAAAACGATCAAAATAAAAAATAAAAATCTTTTTCTTTTATGAAAATAAAATAATTTTTTTTAACTAATATTTTAGTAATAGCACGTAATAGTAGAAAATGAATAAAGACGTTTTTCAAGAAATTTATTTAGTTTCTTTTTATTTCATTTTCTTTTCACCTTTTGCTCTTCCTTCATCAGAAATTTCGATCCATGTTTATAGGAAATTTTTTGTTCAAAATTAAATTTCCTATAAGATCTCAAAGTCTGGCTGGAACGTTCGGGACTACTCTGTATATATATAAAATATAATATAAATTTATATAATAATATATTTATATAATAACAATATTACATGTATATTTACGAATCTCGATAAATGTTAGATTATTGTTTTACTTTTATTCTCTGTTGAAATCATTTACTTTTATAAATTCATTCTTAAAAATATGAATTTTTAACTTACGCTGTTATTGTACCCGAGTCCTCAATTGCTTATTACGAAGAGATTAATTCGAAAAAAAAATTGGAAACAAGGAAAGTTACATTATCCAGATAAAATTAATCTTACATGCAAGAGAGACATTTAAGCTGATGTTTTATATGAAAGAACGAAAGAAAGAGAAATGGTGATTAATATCAAATAATATTTAATATTGATCTTCATCGCGTAAATTTAACATTTTCTTCTATATATTGTCTATATTACTTATATATAAGGAATGAATCCTATAACAGAGGAACAACTCAAATCTCTCGGATTTTAAAATTTGGAGAAAAAAGAAAAACCAAAAGAGAATACGGTTTCTTTTCATGAGAAAAATACGGGACATTTGTTTTTCTCTTATTATTACTTTTCAGGAAAACAGGATGACTAACGTTCTCTTTAATACATATATATTTCTATTTCGCATATATATTATCTTGAAATTAAAGATTCTTGAATTCAGGATAAAAAATCTTAGGGTGTAAAGTTAATCAATCTTGATATCAATGTGAAATATTACGACATTATTTATAATTTGCATATCTGTGTATATCATATTTTCATTTCTCCAAATTCGAGAAATACTTAGTCTCGTTCCTGATAAGATTATCATATTATATTATATAGATTATATGTGCAAAAATATCAGTGCACACATAACTGTAGGAATTTTCACATTTTCTCTTGATTATACTTTAATCTTCACACTAATCCAAATAAAAATAAAACACACGAATATCATTCATAATGTTCGTGTATCATTCACTTTCATATAAAACGTCGTATTTAGCAAATATAACAAATGCGAATGTGTATGGCATGTAAGTTACAAATAAGAATCAACTAAGTAAATTGCAATTTTGCGATCATATGCAAAATATATGTTATACGAATCTCTCTCTCTCTCTCTTTCTCTCTCTCTCTTCCTCTCGCGCGCGCTTAAAAAGAGGCTAGATACACAGAAGGTGGTGATGTTTGCTGTTAGTTCTACCTTCTGTGTAAATTGAGAATTACATAGGGCTCGTCCGGATTAGTGCTGATATCTGTAGTGCTGTTGTTAGGCTGATAGCACGGATTAACAGTGTAATTGAGACTAGGCTGATGGAAACTCACCGGTTGAACGCTGGTTCTGCGTCGCTCCATTTCGCGATCTTCCAGGCAAAAGTCAGAATCCGAATCGGCTTTCCTCGCAACATCATCCTGTCGTTATAGAATACATTATTATACGGGGTGTATCATTTTAACTTTCCCAGGCAAATATTTCGGAAAATAATGAAAAATCGAAAAAATGTTTCAGACAAAAGCTGTATGGTATCTAGGGGGACATAAGATGGTGTCATTAGTTTGACCTTGAAGAGTTACATGAAGATCACGTGAAGGTCACTTCAATTTTTTTAAACGGAACACCCTATATATTTTTGCACATTCTTGTAGCTCATCTCGAGAGCTTTCCAAAACACTATAATAAAATTAGTTTTCATTAAGTACTTTCCGAGTTATGAGGCTTGAAATTATTAATTTTACATAACTTAATTTTACATAAACCGTAAAATATCTTGTAAAATATTCACTTCTCGATTATCTTATCTTAGTACTTTTATGTACAAAATAATGAGAGGAATTGGTGTAAAGAAAAAAACATAGTTGTTTGTAAGAAAAAAATATGTAATTTGCAATTAACAATTACATATTTTTTTTTTAAACAACTATGTGTTTTCTTTACACCAATTGATTCTTCTCATTATTTTGTACATAATATTAAGATAAGATAATCGAAAAATAAATATTTTACTAGATATTTATGGTTTATGCAAAATTAAGAAATGATTTCAAGCCTCATAACTCGAAAAGTACTCAATGAAGAAATACTTTATTATAGTGTTTTGGAAAGCTCTCGAGATAAACTACACGAATATGTAATAAAAAATAGGGAGTTCCATTTAAGAACTTGAAGGTGACCTTTATGTCATCTTCAAATGACTCTCCTATGTCAAATCATTGCCACTATCTGATGGTCCCCTTCAAGCCATACAACTTTTGTCTGAAACATTTCTTTCTGAAGTACATAGTTTATGAAATATTCGACCGGTCCGGGACTTTTGGGACACTCTGTATATCTTGTTGGACTATTTTAGTTCTAAAGCACAAGATTCGTTATTTTAATTAATCAATCAAATTTACTCGAAGCTTGGTAACCCAATGCAGGACGTTATTAATCGCACAGTGCAATCAAACTTTTACCATTTGAAGGGACATCCATATAATGCAGATTCACACATTTGGAGGATATTATACCTGCGTCATCTGTTGCGTGGTCGTCAGGATTCTCGCTAATGGACTGCAACAGACCGGTAACGTTTCTAGCAACGTAGGCCTGGAGTGTGTCAACAAGGGCTTCATGTATTTGGTATCAAAATCACCCCAAATTCTGGCGAGTAATGCTTTTTCGTTAGGCTTCGCAGCGGCACTACTTCCTGGCAATGCTCCATCCTGCATAGAATTATACTGTGAAATGCGAACAACGCATCAGTTATCCATCCTGTATGTGATTTTTTCATTTTTAAATGGACGCAACAAATCTTCAGATTATTCAGATACAGATAGCTCGCGTATTGAAAGAGAAAATTTAAATAATCCTCGCTTTAGAGCTAGGAAAAAAATGTAAGCGATAGTAACTGATGTATCAATAACATTCTCGTTTACTTGCATTTTTGTGTCTTATTTGTACTATTAGTTATGGAAACACATGCTTTATTTATCTCTCACGATGGCCGTCCCATATTGAGCTTGCCTGTGTAAATACTTGTTAATGAAATGTAATCTCCGTGTTTTCCAGCTACTCTTCGACATACAGAATGGATAACAAAAATCATACTGAAAAAAAAAACAAAACCAACGTAGCACGTGCAATCGATAAGTTCAATTGTAAAAAATAAAGTTGCAGCTTTCATATATTAGAGAGAATTTAATCATACAATAAAAAAATATTTGGGTGCATGCTATGGCAATAAAATACATGTTGGATTTTTAAAAAAATGGCCCTTCTAAAAAATGCTAGTTGTGCATGCAATTTTACAGAAAAGAGTGTTTAATATCGTGCTACGTGAATTATGTATAAAGAGTGGAGCATTTAAAAATTGCAAAGTGTATTCTCTGAAATTTGATGTCGTGCAAAAAGTTTTTGCACGAAATTTATAAGATTTTGAGGGAGAAAAGAAGTTGATAAATTGAACTCATTTAAAGTTCAAGTCATTAAAGTTCATTCATTAAAGTCTTCAAGATCATGAATGTCAACCTAAGTATTTTAAATGAAACTATCTAATTTTTTTATACAGGGTGTTTCAAACACCCCGTATCACAAATTTAAAAACTAGAGAAGTGGTTATTTCAAAAAAGTAAAAACATATTTTCTTTATAAATCGGGTGCGCTCTATCGAATGGTGATATTTTTAACTTCTGCTTCCGGTCGGAAATAGGCGATTCAGACCGGAAGTGGATTTTTTTTTAATGGAACATGGTATTTTTTATTGCATATTCTTGTAGCTTATTTCGAGAGCTTTCCAAAACACTATAATAAAATATTTTTCCATCAAGTATTTTTCGAGTTATGAGGCTTGAAATCATTTCTTAATTTTACATAAACCATAAAATATCTTGTCAAATATTCATTTGTCGATCTTACCTTAATACTTTTATGTATAAAATAATGAGAGGAATCAATATGTGTAAAGAAAACACATAATTGTTTCTAAGAAAAAATATGGAATTGTTAATTGCAAATTACATATTTTTTCTTAGAAACAACTATGTGTTTTCTTTACACCGATTGATTTCTCTCAATATTTTGTACATAAAAGTATTAAGGTAAGATAATCGAAAAATGAATACTTTACAAGATATTTTATGGTTTATGTAAAATTAAGAAATGATTTCAAGCCTCATAATTCGAAAAGTACTTCATAGAAAAATAATTTATTATAGTGTTTTGGAAAGCTGTCGAGGTTTAAGCTACAAGAATATGCAATAAAAAATACCATGTTCCAATAAAAAATACCATGTTTAAAAAAATACACTTCCGGTCTGAATCGCCTATTTCCGGCCGGAAGCAGAAGTTAAAAATATCACCATTCGATAGAGCACCCGATTTATAAAGAAAATATGTTTTTACTTTTTTGAGATAACCACTTCTCTAGTTTTTAAATAGATGGTACGGGTGATCTGGAACACCCTGTATAAATTGATTCTCATAATATTCGGCGTAAAAATGGATAAAAATGGCCAAAAATAGTTAACGAGATATACTTTATAATTATACTATATTAATTATATTTTATAAGATATACTTTATAATTATACTATATTAATTATACTTTAATATAATTTAATATATAATTTAATATAAAGATCATGTACATATAAAATATAGGTAATATTCGTTTTAAATATCGTAAACTATTCAAATTTTTGTCTTCCCACCTTTATAACTCTTTACACCGAATATTGCAAGTAATCAATTAAAAAATTAGAGTTGTTCCACTTCAAAGAAAATTAAATTTTCACATGACTTTAACACTTACATCCAAAATTAAATCAATATCTCTCTTCCGCTTTTTCCTTCATCGGACCAACCAAATAACTTTAATCTAAAACTTTTTTGTTATAATGTGTACTTTCAGAGATAATTCTAAATGTTCCACCCTGTATATATCCTTATACATACATACATATAGAATGAGGAAAACGTATGGAAACCTTTAAATTTTTCGAAAATTATGCATTTTAGAAACAAATGTTTCAGACAAAAGTTATAGAGTTTCAAGTAACGCATTATGTAGCAATATCAGTATGACCTTGAACTGCACCGTCAAGGTCACATAAAAATCAGTTCGAATTTTTTAAATGGAACCCCCTATTTTTTATTACACATTCTTAAAGCTTGTTTCAAGAACTTTCCAAAACACTATATTAAAGTGTTTTTTCATTTAGTACTTTTCAAGTTATGAGGCTTGAAATCACTTCTTAATTTTTCCTAAACCATACAATACTTAATAAAATATTCATTTTTTTATTATCTCATCTTCATACTTTTATGCATAAGATAATATGAAGAATCAATTGGTGTAAAGAAAACACAGAGTTGTTTCAAAGAAAAAATATTTTATTGTTTATGTAAAATTAAGAAATTATTTCGAGCCTTATAACTTGAAAAGTACTCACTGAAAAAATACTTTATTATAGTGTTTTGGAAAGCTCTTGAAACAAGCTACAAGAATATATAATAAAAAGTAAGGGATTCCATTTAAAAAATTCAAAGTGATTTTTATGTGACTTTGACGGTGCTATTCAAGGTTACACTATTGCTACGTAATGCATTACTTGAAACCTTACAACCTTTGTCTTAGAAACATTTGTTTCTAAAATGCATAGTTTTCGAAAAATTTAGGTGCTTCCATACTTTTTCCTCACCCTGTATATGCATACATATGTATATAAATATTATCAATATATCTTATATGCTTGCGTGGATAACGAATCAATCTGCGAGATATGGGTGCGTTATTCAAAAGTTGAAATACAGAAAAAGAAGAATCAATTTATTAATAATTCTGAATTCGTTAAACAAAGAGGAAAACGGTATATGTGTCAGTCAATCTATCTTTGTGATAACGTACCGGTAGACTTCTTTCCCTACGCACGTCCAGGTCATCGTAGTCAACCTCACCGCCAGACTATTAACATTGATAAATTAAATTGTCTCATATAATGCAGAGCGTTCGTTATTAGACGCGAACTATACAATATTCGCAAGTCGAGAGTTACAGACTGATATAATGATCATGCTTGACGATGAGATTTCAGATATACAGGGCTCGCAATTTCGGTGAGAGAGCCGAATTTCCAAATTTTCTTCAATTCGTAAAAAAATATGGTCTTATCGAAAAATTATTTTACAAAACTCTTGAAGCATATTTTATAAAAAATAATATAAAATACAAATTAATTAATTATAAAATTGTAAATTAATTAATTTTCTTCAATTCGTGAAAAAATGTGGTCTTATCGAAAAATCGAAAAATTACTTTACAAAACTCTTGGAGCATATTTTATAAAAAATAATATAAAATACAAATTAATTAATTATAAAATTGCAAATTAATTAATTTTCTTCAATTCGTAAAAAATGTGGTCTTATCGTAAAATCGAAAAATTACTTTACAAAACTCTTGAAGCATATTTTATAAAAAATAATATAAAATACAAATTAATTAATTATAAAATTGTAAATTAATTAATTATAAAATTAATCGATTATAAAATTCAGTCAGAAAATGCTTGCATATAAGATTTTTTTTCTATATCTATAGGAAAATCAAGCTCAACGATATTGCGCCAGTTTTGACCATCGATTCTGCACTAGCTAACTAATTTTTCGAATCTACGGGATATCTCACAATCATTTTCCAAAGGAGCAACAAACCAGCGGAAACATGAAACAGAACTTTCTTAATAACGAGGTTCAGCTGACTAATACGCACCCTAATGGTGTCCAGCAATTTGTACACCTAGATAGAAGCGATATTATGAAAGAAAGGGGATTGTATGCGGAAACGATGTAGCAATTAAGCTTACATGCTCAAATCTTCCCAAAGCAAACTTATACTTGTTTAAGTACCCGTTTATTCATCCCACATGCAATTTGCTTATATACAGGGTGGCCCCAAACGTTCTAGCCAGACTTTGAGATCTTATAGGAAATTCTGAACAAAAAATTTCCTATAAACATAAGTCGAGAAATGTTTCCTTAAGAAGTTATCGCTCAAAAACCTCTGATGAAGGAAGAGCAAAAGGTGAAAAGAAAATGAAATAAAAAGAAAATGAAATTAAATAAATTTCTTGAAAAAAACAATCAAAATAAAAAATAAAAATCATTTTCTTTTATGAAAATAAAATAATTTTTTTTTTAACTAATATTTTAGTAATAGCATGTAATAATAGAAAATGAATAAAGACGTTTTTCAAGAAATTTATTTAGTTTCATTTTCTTTTTATTTCATTTTCTTTTCATCTTTTCCTCTTTCAGCTCTTCCTTCATCAGAGGTTTTGAACGATAACTTCTTAAGGAAGCATTTTTCGACCCATGTTTATGGGAAATTTTTTGTTCAGAATTAAATTTCCTATAAGATCTCAAAGTCTGGCTGGAATGTTCGGGGCCACCCTGTATAATTATTTTTTTATCGCGTATATATTATCAAAAGTACGAGCAATTTAAAGATAATTATGATAATAAATAAATAAATAAATAATAATTATAATAATATAATTATATCATAATATAAATATATAATAATTAATTCTATGATTATTGTTAATATATAAATATATTATATATAAATAATATAATTATATTATTAATTAATAATATAATTATAATATTTATAAATAAATTATTCATAAATAATCTTTCAATTATCGAGCATAAAAGTCTTGCTTCATGCATAATCTCGCTGCATCACGATGTTTATCATAATTGTCACTACAGAGTCGTGTATATAATATTGAAATTGTAAAATATATGTAATAATATATTATTATTACATATACAGGGTGGCCCCGAACGTTCCAGCCAGACTTTGAGATCTTATAGGAAATTTAATTCTGAACAAAAAATTTCCCTTAAACATGGGTCGAAAAATGCTTCCTTAAAAAGTTATCGCTCAAAAACCTCTGATGAAGGAAGAGCAAAAGGTGAAAAGAAAATGAAATAAAAAGAAAATGAAACTAAATAAATTTCTTGAAAAAAACAATCAAAATAAAAAATAAAAATCTTTTTCTTTTATGAAAATAAAATAATTTTTTTTTAACTAATATTTTAGTAATAGCACGTAATAGTAGAAAATGAATAAAGACGTTTTTCAAGAAATTTATTTAGTTTCATTTTCTTTTTATTTCATTTTCTTTTCACCTTTTGCTCCTTCATCAGAGGTTTTTAAGCGATAACTTCTTAAGGAAGCATTTTTCGATCCATGTTTATAGGAAATTTTTTGTTCAGAATTAAATTTCATATAAGATCTCAAAGTCTGGCTGGAACGTTCAGGGCCACCCTGTATATTATTATGTAATAATCTATATTATCAGAGTTGGGAAGTAACGTTACATTTTTAATAACGCATTTAATCGTTACTTTAATTATTTCTATTTAATAAATCAGCATGAGCAGTTGTAATATTGAATATTAATTATACAGTGCTTATCCATGTTTTGATTCTACTCAATGAAATCAACGATTAGCTTAGTTGTATGAGTTAACAGAGTGTATGCAATGGCACGACCGCTTATTAAGTAGCAATGTAATTTGGTTTGATCCAAACTAATCACCATTATTGCTATTTAGTCACTATAAATAAAATATACCTATATGATATAACATTAATCGATTCAATCATAATTCTGTAATTTCTGATGTCTTGGCAATTGAAAAATTTATTCGTCTTGCAAAATATCTTGTAAATTTTTTGGAAAATTATATGCATTTTTCTGTTCTGATAAATCTAAAGTTTCTAAATTACAAAAATTGAAAAATTCAATATGAAGAATATTTTGGAATTCAATATGGAAAATAATGTTGAAATAATTTAATTATCGAACATAATAAGAATAAAATTATAAATTCAATTATGTATTTAATTTTAATATTACAGAAAATAACGAAAAAAATAACGGATCGTTTTTCTCAGGAACGAGTTACTTTTTGAAAAGTAATGATAGTGATAAGGCGTTATTTTTTTGAAGTAACATTCCCAACTTTGCATATTATCATGTAATAATATATTATTTAATATAATTGTTAAATATTATTATAAATACTATCGTTAAATATTATCGCGACGTCGTGTGTGTATATGTGAATGTACCCGTGTGCACAACTAATATATATGTGAAGATAGCATAAAGACGCAGCTATCTAATTCTGCATTGTCTACATAATAAGTATTAATTCTAAGTGCTACATTTATCTTAGAGATAAGAATCATATACTTACATTACGTGTTCCATTGTGAGAGAGTCCTTCTATTTCCTCATCTACTCCAACTCTATAAATATAAATAATAGTAAGGCATGCTATTGTAATAAATAATATGTATAATAAATTGTTATCGTTTGCAAGTGATTAAAGTGAAAATAATTTAATGCAAAAATGTAATGGAAGTAATTTAATGGAGATAAGAAATAAGAAATAAATTGGATTACTGAAAAAATTCATTCTTTTTTTTCTTCTATATACTTTTGAGATTGATTGATTTATATTAGTATAATTAAAGAAACAAATTTTTATGAACAATCCAATATTCACAATCGATTGAATAACAATAAAAAATGATAAAATGATAAATTAAGAGTTTTTAAATAATTTATATATATATATACTCACGGAATATTAAACCAACTTAAAAATTGTGTCGTTGCACCACCCTGCAGGATAACCGTCAATATTACAATTAGACTCGTTGTAGTGAGCATAGCTTGTCTAGCATCTGACACGGTATTCCTGATGGCGAGGGCGAAACTCATGGCGCCGCGTAATCCCGCAAAGAATAACATGTGTTGATAATTCAACGATATTTTTGGCTTTCGTGCCAAATTCAAGATGAAGGATAACGGGTACACATTGGCCGCACGGCCCAATAACGCGCACAACTGAAGACAATACGTCAAGGATATTTTAAATTCTCATCAATAATGTATCTCAATAATTGAGTATGTCATAAAATTTTAAACAACCGAACAAAAGTAAAGTTGGAAAACTCCAATAGAATAGAAAAAACCATAGTAAATTCCAATTTCTACTGTGCCAAACTTTATCCAAAATAAACTGAAATAATAAATAACTCAAATAAACTGACAAAACCTGTAAGTATAACTAATATGTAATTATGTTCAAATATATTTTTGTTTTAATTAATAAATCATACTAATTACATATACCATAGTTTATAAAGAATGAAATCAATCTAATAGCCTTTTTTAATTTAAATTAAATAATATAATATAATTATAATATATAATATAATTATAAATATAATATAATTAATTTAAATTAAATATATAAAATTTTTAGAACAAAAACTTTGAAGATATAAATGTTAAATTTTCTATTACAAATTTTTAATTTAATAAGAAAAATGCAATGAAATAAAATAATAATAGAATTAAAAATTTTTATCAATAGACTTGGTTTGCATTTATCTTTCAACATTTGTTAACAAAAACCTAATTTATTTGTTACATCGTCCTAATCTATTATGGATTTTATTTTGGATAAAGCTTAAATTAGAACTCTTTTAATTGATGAAAATCAATAAAAATGTCTTCTATTTAATATTTTTAATAGGAAAGATTAGTTTTTTTACCACTTTCTCTTCCGGAAAATACTATTGTTTATCTCACTGGCATAAATTTTATTAATTAAAAAATATGAAATTTTGTCAATCCTGAATAAAAGGCTCAAGAATGTTCAGTGATGCTGATACATCTTGCATATAAATAAGGATACAAATCCCGCGAAGATAAAGCCGGGATCGAAATGGTGCTTGGGAAAAGTGAACATCGAAACACCGATGTAACTGAATATGAAGTTCTCAGCTAAGAAATTCAACAATTCGAACAATTGTTTCGTGCGTTGACGCGAATCTGGGCTAAGATTGTTGTACGTATAATGAGCCTGGCAGATTCCACAGAATAGAACAGCGACAACGCCTGAAATTTCACGTAAAAGAGCGTCAGTATTAGATGAAAGATCAATTCCCAGATAAAGATGTTCAACTCTCTTCGAGAAAAGATTAATAAAAATAATTAAAATATTAACTGGTACATAAAAATTACCTGTAAGATCAGCAGCTTCGGCGATTAAAAACGTACTATAGGACATTAAGACGAATAATGCTGATTCTAGGAGGGGGAAATCCCGGACTCTGGTAAACTTTGTCAATAAAGCGGTGAGACAACCCATAGTAGCACCGATGAATAGAGACAGACTGAATATTCCTACAAAGTCTCCGAATGCTTGGAAGAACGCCACTGTCTCAAAACCGCCTGATCCCGACTGATATCGCTCGGCATAGTTCTGTATCGAGCTGAAACATCAAGATTTACGTTTTCGATATTACACGCTTGCGTTGCAACTTATTACTGTTATGTTAGGGAATATCTTGCACTTGCTCACCCGCTAAGTACAATAGCGACCGCATCGTTCAGCACACTTTCACCAAAGACCAGAGCATATAGATTAACGTCCACATGTAAGTCATTGAAAATTGATATTATCGTCAAGGGATCCGTGGGAGATATCAAAGCGCCGAAATATAAGGTATCGAGAAACGTAAACGACGTCGAGAGATGCGGTATCAGTTGCACGAAAGCATACATCAGAGCTCTGCAAAGATAATTGATTTATCAAAAGAATGACTCAGGAGTGAATTAAAAGAAAAACACGTTGTTTCTTTCGATTCGAACGAATGGCTCGAAGAAAGAAAGTAGATAAGCTCAATCAAAATATGACCTATACACATTATGATTTATGTAAACATAATATTTTCCTTGTTGCTAAGTGTCCATTAAATTTTTTTCCTAAATGTAGAATAAATATAATAATAAACAAAATATAAAATAATTAATATAAAATATAAAATTTAAAATAATTAATATAAATAAAATAATTAATATAAAATATAAAATAATTAATATAAAATATAAAATAATTAATATGAAATATAAAATAATTAATATAAAATATAAAATAATTAATATAAAATATAAAATATAAAAATATAAAATAACATAAAACAAAAACGTCCTTTATAAATATCCATGAAGTGGACAATAGTACAATATAAAATAACAGTGGAAACATTAAAAGAAAAGCTTACCCAATAACGAAAGCTGATATAGAAGTCCCTATCAAAGCATACATAAGAATTGCGCCCAGATTTCTAAAGAAGTATCTCTGTAAAAATTTATTATAAGTAAGAGTTATACGGATAAGAATATTTTATGCAACTCCTCTGATAAATAAGCAAAATATTACTCACTCGTTTCAAACTGTATCCTGCATGGAAAATGATGGGTGGCAGTATGATATTGAAAAATATTTCAGGATCAAAAGTCGCCTGCAACAACAAATGATTATATAATATCAATTAAAAATTAAAATGACCTGATATTTATTTATAGCTTGAAAATCAGCAAATAAGAACAGCTATTTTAGATAAATAATTTGCATCATTATCACGAATGACACATTTACCTTCAAGTCGATTTCACTATCTTCTTTATAAATTTCGCCACGAAACGAATATGCAAACGTTTTGTTTTTTATCATACCGCCGCCTTTATCTTCGGGGAAACGTAGCCACAGCGTGTCTGGTGGTACGGACTGATTGTATTTGCTTGTGTTGTCTGGAACCACTGGCATGTGCAAAATAGTACTGCTTGGTGTGAAACCATAGCGTATTATCGCTCCTATGATCAAACCTATAACAAAAAAAAATTTCAAAGAGAAAATAGACAATCTACAAATCTTTAATTCAGACAAAAATCATTCGTATTAACAATAAAATCACAACAAATTTACTTATCATTATCTATTAATCCTTAAATTTTAAAGGTAATATCTAGGCGAGATCTTCTGAAGATCTTACTGCTTTAAAATTACTTGCTATAAGAAACCTTTAAGTAAAATATTTTATATTTCATTATATTTCATTTATTTTATAATTCATTATTTATAAGTAAAATATTTTATTTGTATCACTAGCAGTAAGTTATATAAATTTTAAGTATATTATTTAATTAAGTATATTATTTAATTTTAAGTATATTATTTAATTCTTATAAATTGATTTAAAGAGAAAAAAATAATTTTGAAGAAATTTATATATAAAGAATTAAATATTCAAAAACTATCACAAAAAAGTAAGATACTTAAAGATAAGACTAATGCAAAAATTTTTAAACTATAATCCTTTACTGCAATTTGAAGATTTTTCTATCATATAAAATACTCTTACATCATTATTTACATCATTAGCAATAAGTTATATTTAAACATATTTAATTTTTATAGATTAATTTAAAAAAGAAAAAAAATAATTTTAAATACAAATCAACAATGATGAAAAGACGAGATCTGACCTCGAATGAATCAGCTCGAATCAACGATTGGAGAAGAATGTGATACAATTGGAAGCTTGGACCAATAATTGATGGATAATTGAGATAATAACAAGAAGGGAGCGAAAGAAAAAATACGTAACAAAGAATGGTCATCCCGTTGATAAAGACATACATATAAAATTTCAGAGTAAAAAATCGTCACGAAAAAAACAATATTTAGCAAAAATAAACTTGCAAAAATGTGAAAGCTATCCCTCGTAAAAAGGACAGATTGTCTTGAGGAATATAATATGACGCAATTTTAAGACTTAAATATGTAAGATACATTTACATCATTAGCAATAATGAGATGTGTTTTAAATTATTTATTTTTTACTTATGAGATGTTTTAAATTATTTATTTATTTATTTTTATTTATTTTTTATTTATTTTTTATTATTTAAATCTTATATTTAAGTATATTTAATTCCTGTAGATTAATATGGGAAAGAAATAATTTGGAAAAAATTTAAACAAAAAACTTTCAATGTAACAAATTATAAAAACCTTAAAAATAAATACTTAAAAATGAAATAAACGTGCAAAATGTGCAAGCTATCTCTTGCATGTATGAACGGTAAAAGGATGTGACAATTGATGTGACAATTTTGTCTGCGTCATACGCGACTCCTGGAGTTAGAAGAGTGTCAAGAATTATCGATAACAGACGACTCACCATAGATGACAGCTAAACCAGTTTCATGGAGAAACCTCAGACGGCGATGCTTGAACATCCATATCGTCAGAACGGTTAGAATCAATAAGAAAGTGTAGAGGAGGAGATTGAGGCTGTCGAGTCGATGCAACAGCTGCGCTTTGGCATCCAACTCGATGTCTGTCGCCGCCCCGTTGCATAATTCCGTGAGAAAAATACAAAGAGCTACGAGGAACAGCAATCGTACGGCGCCATTCGCCGCCATCTTCGCCTTTGACGTTTAGCTAACGAGCTAATGCTGATTGTACTCTTTTTACATAAAACCGGACTAACCAACCCGGCGAAAATAAAACAACCATTATCTAGGGAAAAATAAACTTATAGGGAGATCAGTTGATATTCCTGGAGGGCTCCATGAACTTAGTCCATAGACATCTATATAGACACTAGACTGCTAACTCCACCGAAATATGTGGTTCTGAAATGTATGTACAAAATTCTTGCACATGCGAAAGGGGGACACCAATATACAGGCCGGTATTCATAGTCCGATCTTATATTTAAGATCGTCTTAAGTCTGCTTGGAGGTTGACTTAAGACCTCAATCTAGGAATGGGCGATGTTCAAAATAAAATCGATTTTAATAACATCGATTTTTAAAAAAAGAATTGATTTTGAAAATCGATTTTCTAAACATAATAAAATCATAAGACATAAAAAAATCGACGAATCGATTAAGCGAATAAAAAAATTATTGATAAGTAGGGTTATTTTATTATAAGTAGGGTTATTATATTATTATTGAATTTTTTCATATTCCCCTATGTATAAACATAAAACCCGGAGATATGTTTGCTTAAATAAATACGAAATATGTATATATGTATACAATTAAAGAAATGTACTTTTCCTCATACAAGAAATAAATTTTGTTTGTTTGTTCTAAAATATTGCGTGCGTCCTAAATTTTTATGTAACAAAATCGAAATATATCCTTTCATAACGATGCGGCATCTGGCGCGGCTTACAACTGCCAATCAGGCCGATATTACATTTGTCGTACAACAAACTTTTTAAGTGGATTGATTGGCTGCAGTATAGAAAATTTCTGAAATCTTTTTGTAGCCAATCATGCGCTAAAAAGATTGTCGCACGACAAATGTAATATTGACCTCAGAAATTATCTTTTTTGGATCACTGGTCACTGGATGCGTTCAGAACACACAACAGTTAAGAAACGTTACTAGATGATTAATCTATATTATATCGCCATATAATATATAAAATCTAGTAATATAATCTAGTAAATCGACTGTTGTATGTTCTGAACGCGTTCAGTGACGCAAAAAAATAATCTCTGATTGGCTATTGTAGGCTGCGCCGAAAGCCACCTCGTGGTGTAGAAAAGATAGGTATAATTATTTCGATTTTGCCTCATAAAAATCGAAAATTGATTAATCGACCGACAAAAAAATCGATGAAATATAATCGATTATTTAAATTAAAGAATCGACATCACCGATTAATCGAAAAACATCGCCCATCCCTACCTCAATCAACCAATCAAACAGCTGCGTAGCATTTCAACTCGAACTTAAGACGATCTCAAATATAAGATCGAACTATGAATACCGGCCTAAGAATGCTATTATGTCCAAATTTTTCTCATAGATTTATAAAATAGACTGGCCCCTACCGTAAGAGCCAGCGTTGAAAAATCTAAAGGACAGAGAGATAATTCAGTATCTCTATCCTTCTCTTTTGTATCGTGGTGGAGACACTGATGGGATGAGTGAAAACGAAGCGAGCATGCACATTGCTTTCCCCTCATCTCCTATACGCATGCTCGCTTCATTTTCACTAATATATAATTAATAACATAAATAAATATAATATAAAAAAAACTTAAAAAGTTTTATATTTTAATTTGATAATTAATATTTTATAATATAAATTATAAAATTAAAATTTATAACTTTTTAATAAGTTTTATTTATATTATATTTATTTATATTATTAATTATTTATCTTATTTTAACGATTTATGTCATCGTAATTTTATATATCTCGCGCCATGCGAAGGATTAGCGAGGCACTCCGTATATCTGTACGCGAATCGGATTGAGAGTCATCAGATTATCAAATTTTAACAATGGCTGAATGGCTCGAATTCTTATTAAGCTTAATCGATAGAGCGAGTTTGAGTTGTATGAAAAAAGTATCTTCATTTATATTCTGATTGATCTACAAATGAAGATATCATGATGCAAAGTTCAAATATGGAAATTTTTATTTAAGAAGCATCTTCAACATCACCATCATCAACACACACATCCTCACAATACAAAAAGAAAAAACGTAGAGTTTTTCTCTCGATAGAAGAAATTATATTAGCGACGCTCTGCGATATTAATGATCTATAACATTACCCATACGGCACAGAAATATTGCAGCAACATTGCAGAAATATTTCTTTGCAAAATTGGAACATTGCAGAAAGGTTGCAAAATGTTGCCGCAACGTTGCTGCAATATTGCAGCAACGGTAAAATGTCCGATTGTAGAAATATTGCAATGCAATATTGCAGCAATGGTACGGTGCAACGTATTTGTAATATTAAAATGCGTTTTGCTACAAATGCAGACATCGTTTTAAATTTAATAAATAAACTTTGAAAATATAAAAACATGTTTAAGAAAGATAGGAAAAAATGCCTTTAAAAAAACATCTATTAATGTTTTTATTAGATGTTTCTTAAATATTTATCTTAACAATATTACATACAATTATTTTACATAAATTCGACACCAGAATATTTTAATACGTGCAATAAATAAATTATGTCCTATTTACCCATTCAATTAAGAAAAATCTGTTTAATATTCTGAAACCCAATGAAGGATCCAGATAATTAAACAAATTATTTGTTTAATAATCTAGATTCCTCATTAGGATTCAGAATATTAAGTAAATCAAGTCAGTTTATCGCTAGAAATTAAACTGACACAAGACAAGAAATATAATTACTACATTAATCCTTTGTAGATCTTATATCCATCTTAGAAAGAATTCGAATACGAGTTAGTTAAATTGGGTGTCGCCGCGTAGCGGCAAGTAAAGAAACACATGTTATACATTTTCGCCATGTTAAAACGTTGCTGCAACATTGCCAAAGTAATATTACAAAATAATGTCTCTGCATTATTGCTGCAACATTGCACTGCAGTGAGCAATGTTGTAACATTGCAGCAACGTTGCAGCAAGCTTCTGTGCTATATGAGTAGTGATATGTATAATTTAACCGTATTTTAAATTTAACCGTATTTTAAATAGTGACAGGTTAAATAATAAAGTGCAAGTTGATAAAATTAGCTGAATCTTATCATATGGAATTGAGACATTCAAATAGCAATATTATTGTTTTGTTGGTTCAGGTTTATCCTTTTATCTTTTAATTATTAGAATAGAATTATTAAAGAAAACATACATAGTATTCTCTCTTCTTATTCATATTTTTATAATTTACAATGATTCGTTAATAAGTGATACTACTTCATCGTTGTCCATCATTGTGACATGAGTACCTTCCTTTCGTAATATATTTGTATTGCACTTTCGATAATCTAAAAATATTTTTTATTTATAAAAATGATTTTAAAAATGACAAAATATTACATTCTAAATAAATTTACCTTATGTAGACCTTATGTATAATCCTCTTCAATAAAAGCGATAGGCGTAAGTGTGGGTTTTAATAAGATTATAGATGATTTAATACGTGATAATGATGTTATATCATAATCTTGTATAGCGATTATATGATCGTAAAACGTCGAACATAACAATTTCTGATTTTCAACAGTTAATTCATTGATATCCTTTGAAAAGCGAGCAGAAAGAAATTCAAATTTCTCTTCCCATGTACTCCACTTATTTAGTTGTAATGTAAGCTGGAAATAATAATATTGTATTAGTACAACAAGATGATAATAACAAAATGACAATCTGTATTTTAAACTGAGATAAAATAATATGCTTATATTATGTTATTTCATCTAATCTAAATTACGTTAAAGAAATTTTACAAAACTTTTTGGAAACTTTAATTTAGATTATATAAAATAATATAATAAAATAATATAATAAAAAAGTTTAGTTTATTTTATAATTTTAAAGCATATTCTAACAAATTATTTTATAATTTTTATTCTCATTCTATTAACTATATACTATTTTATTAACTGTACATATATAAACGCAATTAAATAAGTAACTTTTCCAATTAAAAAAATATATTTATTTAATTAAGTCATAATATATTTTTAATAATTAGCTAACTATTTCGTTGTTTGAGTCAAAATACAAGCTTAATTATTAAATGAAGTAAAATGATATTTTGTAACTCTTGTTCGGTAGTATAATAAAAAATGTGTATAAAATGTTTCTCAAACAAGAACTTCATTTGATCAGGAACTCCATCTATAAGTATTAAACGTCCGAAGAAATTCTTAAGTTCTAATAATCTCGCTAATTCGATGGCAATTAAAGATCCAAATGAATAACCGACAATTAGAAATTCTTTTTGACTTTGTATTTTCTCCAATACATGCTAAAAAAATAAGCAAACATGAAATTATGTAAAAATGGCGCGCATGCATGCATGCGCATATGCGTATGCATAATTAAAAATATATCATTGTTTAAAGTTTAAATAGAGCAATTAAAATAAAGATTTCAAATAGATTATATTATAATTTTGTACAGGCAGAAGATATACTGCTGATTTCATTACTGACGAAGTAACACCTGGCATATTAAGTACACCGTGTTGCAAACATATCGCCGAAGATTTAATTTTCGATCCTATTAGTTTATATACACTTGCAGAGCCGTCGATTCCTGGTATAAGGAATATTTCACTCCCAGCAACTTTTCTCTCTGTATCGAGTTTTATATAAATGTCTGAACTCAAGTCTGAATCGTTAAGTTTTCGAGTCAATATTTTTAAACCATTCAAATCATTTACATTAGCTTCCGTGTCATCTTCTCGGTACATCTTTTCTTGTTCAGATGTATTTGTCAATTTTCTAAGTTTTGCAAAAGTGAGATTTCGAATATCTTGTGCCATCAATAAAATATCGAATTCTCTCTCTAATGTCTGTTTAATCTCCACTGCCATCATTGAATCCATGCCTAGTTCAGCCAGTGACACGTTTGGCGCTGCCATGTTTGGATTTTTCAATCCTATTTTAAAAATTAAATATTTACACATAATTTTAATCGGATCTTATTTAATCT